CTTATCCCCTTCTGTGTTTGTGTGTGTGTGTGGATGTGTGTGTGTGTGTGTGTGTGTGTGTGGATGTGTGTGTGTGTGGCCACGTAGGGCCCTGGAGTTTGGGGGATTGTATCGCCTCCCTGCCCCACTGTTAACTATGTAGCTACTGGTCACTACGAGAAGATAAAACAGACGGAAAAACAATTTGTTATGAAAACGATACCGGGGCTGGTGTGAAATGTGATCGTTTGTACTTTAGGTGGACTTGATGTGTGTAACCCCCACCTTCCTTTTTCCCTGGAGTGAGCTCAAACTCACTTAGGACCTTTATATATACAAAGCCAGTAATAGAGTGGAAGCTCAATAACAACAATTTAAAAAGGCATCTATCCTTAAAGAAACACTCCCTGCTTTTGTTCTCCCCCCCTCCAATCCCAACACTTCCTGCCAGCTCACTGTTTGTGTTTCCAACCTAACACCGTTTACAGTTGGGTTTATAATATAAACTGTGAGAATATAGGGTTTTAAGATTGTATCGCAGTGGTTCCCAACCTTTTCTTTTTTTTATAATTGTACCCCTACTGAGAACCTTATCAGATTAACTCAAGTAACCTCTTCACTAACACTGGGAATCGCAAAACCACGGAGTGTTTCTTTAACAAAGCAAATGTCACATTAACATCGACTGCAGGGATTATCTGAAGCCCAGAAGGAGGAAGTATTCCGATCCATTAATAAAAATAAAAGTACAAGCATCTCAGTATGGACACAAAGTAACCATGATGCGAAATGTTAACCTCTATTGTTGTGTTTTACTATTTTAAAATGATTGTTATTACTCATGCATCATTTGTAATTAGCATTTTACTTCTGTAGTTGGTTGAGGTGGTGCTGATTTGAACTATTCCATACACTATTGGGTAGTTTATAATATTTTACATACAAAACATGATGTATCGCTTTGGTATTTTCTGAAATTATCACATGTTTTGCATGTTAAGTGAGAAAAGTAACTAAAGCTGTCAGATAAATAAAGTGGAGTAGAAGTATCAAGTAGCAGGAAAATGTAAATATTAAAGGAGAGGTGTCATGCTTTTCCGGTTATTACCCGTCCCCTTGTGTGTTATGAAGGTTTTTATGTATGTAAACGGTCTGCAGAGTCAAAAACCCTCAAAGTACACCCTGTAGCGAGTAAAACTCTAACACAGAAAAGACCTCCCCAAAACGCCTCGTTGGAGATTTCTCATGTTCTTCCTGGGCATCGTGACGTCTGGATACCCAGTAGCCACGCCCAGAGCTATGACGCGATACGGTCATGCGGTACCCGGAACCAATCCGTGGAGCCGTTACGTTACGTCCGCGGAGCCGTTACGTTAAGCCCCCGCTGATTGGTCCAAATTGACCAATCCACGGACTTCCTCACACACAGGCAGCTCTGCTGATTTCTCCTCCCTGGCTGCAGGCTGATAACAGACAGTTGGGATCGCGGCGAAATTCTCTCTGCAGACCCATTCTCACAGCGTTTATCAACCTTTTTCTTACTCAATATCAAGTCACACTTATTGTTTTTACTTCGGCTGTGAGTTTGTGTGTGCTCAGGATGAGTTTGGCTGTGTTTCGCTATGTATCCTAAACAAGGAAACCACACCTCCACGGAGCTCAGCGCGATTCACAACGTCCCGACCAATCAGAGCACACTGTGCTCACAGGGAGGGTGGGGGCTGGAGCTATTGGAGCTACAACGAGCCGTTAAAGGCAGAGAGTGAAATTCAGTGAATACACATAGTTTACAGAGATGCTGTATGAGAAACCAATGTGAGTTTGGAAAATTGCACAATATAAATCTATTTTAGTAGACCTCAACAATGGAATTATGATCAGTGGAAATGGCCATGACACCTCTCCTTTAAGTAAAGTACCTCACATTTCTATTTAAGTACAGTACTTGAGTAAAACTACATTCCAACAATGCTAAGCCACGCTGCTTAAATAGCTTTAAATATAATCTTGCAAGAAAATAATGAGGGGCTTTTTGGAATTTGACTACTCTTTCCTTGACTGAATGGACTCTTTTTTTTCGACTGCACGGTTAACCAATAAACATTTAACCAAGCCTTGTTGCCATGGCGTCATATTAAGGCTCGGATCCTCACTATAGCAACTCCCTGATAGACGGACTGAGTGGCTGGATGAATATCTGACACGCTGGCTGGCAGAAATGACTGCTTGTAGCATGTTTAAAGGATTATATGAACGGGAAAATGGCTCATTATGAATCCCCTGAACTCCATGCTGTTTTATTAACAGCAGAAATAGTATGCATCAAACACAGGAGTGAAATAAAGGGGTAGGAAATAATGATGGGTGAATATGTGGATTACGGCTTGAGCAAATAACCCTCCCTGCTCCCTGCTCTCCAGTTACACTGTTGGGGAGCACGTGCTCCACATCTCCCCGTCTAAATGAGCCCAATGAGTCTCCATCAGTGAACCGACTGTAAATTAATCTCTTTGTTGTCTAACAGCCCCAGCAGAGAAGGAATCAGAACAATGAAACCTCTGTGGATAAAAGCGGAAAAATAGCCATCATTATTAGAGATAAATGAGAGATAGGTGACCAAAAATGTGAAATAAATCAATATACCATTTTCACGAGTATAATCTGATACACGACCTGATCTGAGAATAACAAATGATAACAAATCAAGTCTCACAGCACCTATTTGTTGAGCTGTTGGCAAAAAAAAAAGCATACTAACAATAAAGATTGAGTGCTTTAAAGCTAGCATAACTGTAATAATTAGTGCGTTATTGAATAAGAGATGGATGTGGGTAGAGCTGCAAAAATGTGCCGATCGACAGAAATATAATGATGATCATTCATTTTTTCATGCAAAGGTGCAAGAAAATGCTGTTTTCAGCCTCTCAAATATGGAGATGTCCTGCTTTCTGTTTCGTAAGTGAATATATTTTGGTTTCTGGACTGCAAAACCAGACATTTAAAGACATGACCTTGGACTTTGAGTTACTTGATGATCGCATTTTCCTTATTGTATAGACAAAGGATTAATCAATTAATCTAGAAAATGATCGATAATGAATTATGTGTTAGTTGCAGCCTTAGATGTGAGACAAGTGAATGAATGATAGATCGAGAAAGATAAGTATTTATCCGGAAAATCCTCATACACTGTTTGCAATAACTAAATGTTACAGTTTTAATCCATGGCATATAAATTAATCGTTAGCAAACAATAAGCACATTGATTCTAAAATCCTCACTAGGCCACTTAATCTCCTCTTCTGGCATAAAAGTCTCTAGTATCTCCGCTACTTTTTTGTTATTATCCAAATGTCACAGGGTATCCCTGCAACTGCCTTTGAAATCTGAATACAAGTCAGACACAATCTTATTTTCACAACAGATTCGTTTTCCATCCTCAGTGGCTTTGAATAGCATCTGGTTACAGTTAGTTACAGATTGTCAGTGGATTAGATTTGGGACTTACAGGTGCGAGTGTGGAGACAGCCTCTGTTGTGTCTGCAACAACACAACTCCACCAAGCAACAGCCAGACAATCCCATTGTATGTCTGTGTGCGTCAGTAGGGTCAAAGGTCAAGTAGTAGGAGAGTTTTTGGAAGCTTTGCTCAAGTCTAACTTTTTATCCTCTTTAGAATAGCCTAACTTAGTTGTATTATGTGCACATTTTCTTGAATCCTCCTGCCTTTTGTCTCTTTTAGCCTTCTAGGAACCTTCATACCTGTTAAGTCGTTGTATTGCTAATGCTAGGAATAGAATATGGGTCAATGCTAGCTCAGTCGGCATGGGCTTACCAACTCCTGACGGCAGCAGCCAGTCAGGAGATGGCGCAGCTCTCCATGTGTCGCCCAGGGTTTGATGAGGGACTCTAAAGTTAGCTTCCACTGATACTCAGTCATTACCACAGCCAGGCAGGTCATACGCATGACCAGACCCCCCACTCAGACTCATCAGTCACACCTCATTTATCTCATTTGCCAGCACATCCCCTTCCCGAAGAGAGTAGCCCTCCTTTAATTTTGCTTAAAACTTTTAAATTAGCATACACCAAAAAAGAGAGTAGGTGTGCAACAATGGTCTTATTGTAGATGAGACAAAGACATAACCTAGGGCTAGGATGAAATACTTATGATGTCAACTTGCAAAGACAACGATATTGAACAAAGGGATTTTGTTAGTTAGTTGAAAGACAGTATTTGTTAGAAACCACACTTTGATATGTACAAACCCCTTTTTTATTGGTGCCTTTTGTGATAGAAGTTATAAAAGAATAATGTTTTTTTGTATTTATTTGATTTTAACATTAAGTTGTTACACAGGCAGAACTGTGTAATATTTGTTTAATAATCGAAATAAATTACAGTTTCCTTTTTTTGTGCATCCCTAACAAGCACGTGAACATTTTATTTTCGTAAATGATTTTATGAAATGTTTACTTGTTTAAAACCTGATTTGAATAGGAAAAACCGTTCCCAAACAGCTGCTAAACAAGAGTACGGTCTGTCATACTTGATTTGGTGAATTCACAGGTGTGCTTTAAAATCTTTTCAGCCAATCAGAAGAGAGAGATCTCTATTCCACGATAAGACAGTAAAGCTGCATCAGCTCTACATTTAGCTACCTGTAGGTGGGGGTGGGGGCTGAAGTTAAACCACGAGGTCTTTAAACATTACAAATGTCTGACATGATGGAGTCTTTGTTTCTTGTCACACTCTTCTTATATCACGCCTTTCATTACCTCATCTTTTTGCATATGGCCCAGATACTAAAGGCTATAAGAAGCAAGTCTAGGCCAAAAGCAGCCACAAAGGGCCTACATTTAATGTTTATTTAGTAACAGTTTGCCTTAAAAGAGGACAGACAGAGGCTCCAGATCTGATAAACTGACTTATTACGCTTTACTGTAGAGCTCTATTACTTATAGAGCCCCGGATCGATAGGATCGATCGGTTTGCAGGCCGGTTATTGTTAGGGTCTTTACCTCACAGTCGTAGAGGTCCGTTAGCTGGTCGATAATCCACTCCTCCAGGTTCAGTCTCTTCCTCAGCTCCTTACGGTCATATTTGACGGTAACGCGTCCCTGCTTCCGAACCGGAATCTCGGGTTCCTCCGCGGTGCCGCCCGGCGTCTGGAAATATACCCGGGGTTGAGGGCTCGTATCAGCCATGGTCACTCGCTTCGGGATACTAAAATCACCCCCGGAGGTGTGAAGTGTGAAATGGGCGACAGTCAGGAGGCGAAGCGGCTTTTGTTGACGTGCTGGCCTTTTCCTCACTGAAAAAAAAATCCCGGCTGATAAATGTGTGACTTGGAATCCCCCGAAGAAACAGCGCTGGACCTGATGCTTTTGTTGTCCAAAAATTGCTCAAAGAGACATTGGCAGTAGCCGGACGTTTCCACAAAACAAACCGGAGCGACCGTTACGGTGAAACGTGAAGAGTAACCGGCTTATTGGGCTATTTACAGCATGCAAACTCTGCTTATATAAAAAGAGAAGAGAGAGGAGCGGAGCTGGCTGAACTCTTCATTCAGTACAAAGAGAAATCACACGCCTCTCTCTCTCTCTCTCTCTCTCTCTCTCTCTCTCTCTCTCTCTCTCTCTCTCTCTCTCTCTCTCTCTCTCTCTCTCTCTCTCTCTCAGCCCCACGAGAGCTGCGTGCGCGTGCGCGCGCTCTCCTTGAGCTCGAGCGCATCCGACGTAGCCCGACTGAAAAAAGAGAAAAGCAAATGTTGATTTTTTCCAACTTTGAATATCAGTTCACTCCCCCTCTTCCTTCTCATGCATTTTCCCAAAACGTTCCCATGTGACCCCCTGGAGCCCACTGTAACAGATGAGCTTCACATGTGCACAGATGTACACTCTTTTTCCCATGGTGCAAAAATAATGGACATGAGCATTCCAAAATTAGACTGTAATGTGAGTTTTTATTTAAAGTTAATTGTAATATTATAGTTGTACTGATACATGTGCTGGTATTTTTATTTCATACATCTGCACTTGAATCTGTCTCGATCATTGTAGTGTGATAACGATTATGGAAACGTGTTGATTTAGTTTGTGTGCTCTTACCATAGTCTGTATATATAGGCTCTTACCCTAACTTAAAACACTTAAGAAGAATTCCAGCATGTTTTTTCCTTGCTGTAGGAAAGTCGAATCCATATTTGTGAGCATGAGCACAACCCAGAAACCAAATAAATAAGTTTCAAATGTACTTCCTGTTCAGGATCTGCTGTTTGCTAAAGCTAAAAAAATGTTTTGTCCATTATAGTGCCCTCAGTTGTAATTCAGAAAGTTCCCATATACTCATGACTTATTCTTGTTTCCCAATGATTTGTCTGTTGAGCTTTCCAGAGTTTATACAAATAAAATTGTCCTCGCTCTAGTTTTTTGCCTTCTTTTTGGATTTTATTTTTCAAAATGGCTCAGAGTTCATGCTAACTAATATGTTTTAATGTCTTAAAGTTAAACCATAGGAATATCATGTACTGTACAGAGTTTTGAAAATGTTTCACTTTAACTTTATCTCCATAGTGAACCTATTCAGAACTTTTCAATCGCCCAACCTTTGACAAACCTTATGACTCTTTAAATAACCTATTATTGCTCTCATCATTAAAGGCATGGGCTTTTAATGCATTGTGCAGCACTTTGTCCTTACACGGTAATTGCACAAAGTGCCAGTTTGGCCCGGGGCCTAACAGCTTCAAACTCTTGGTATTTTAATGCTCATTTGACTAGTTCACAACAAAAGTGTCCTCTGGAATGTGTGAAATGTATACAGATAAAGATTTTACGCTTAGATTTCACAGTTTATGAATAGAGAGCTTATAATTCACAGTATACAAAAGTGTTATTATATGTTTTGCAAGATGTCGTTTTATCTCTTTTAAGATTACGCAATTTGAGTGGATAGTGGATTCAGTTGGAAATTAACTTTTACATTGCAAAGATTACAAAAGAAACACTGGAGGTGTTCCATCAACAGGAAACCAGTCCCATTTTTTCACAGTGTGTCCATTGTGTTGTCACAGCATGGGTCCTACACCCGGCCAGGCTGGTTAATAAAAGAGTTTTAATAATAATAGGAGTGTGAAGTTAAGGGGGAGGCAACTGAGGGAGAGCAGATTCATAATGCCTCTCTCCTTCTATCTCTTCTTTAGAGTGTGTATGTTGGTGTTCACATCTGTCAACATGCTCATATTGGTGTGTGTGATGTGTCGTACCGGCCCATGCAGGCATTTCACAGACAACCATGGCAACAAGACATAAAAAACTGAATTATTCAGTGAGCTTGTCTGAAACTTACAGTTGAGTAAGCACAGTTGGACACACACACACACACACACACACACACACACACACACACACACACACACACACACACACACACACACACACACACACACACACACACACACACACACACAGTAACGTAAACATTCACATAGCAAAGACATGCAGTCACTGTTACACACGATCCTTTGCACAAACCAAATGTGTCACCAGGTTATAGAGTAAAATGCAAAATGCAAACTTTTTTTTTTCTTTGATATTTGAGTCTTTCCACTACATGTCAGACAGACACTGCAGAAGAAGTCAGTATGATGTACGCATGCAACATTAAAACTGTTGTGGCCATGAGGAGAGTGAAAGAGGAACCATGCACGGTATGATGCATATGTTTGAAAAAATGTCATGAGCTCAAATAATCTTAGAAACTCAAGCTTGCAAACAGCCAGAAAACGGATCTTATTAGATTGTATATCCCTAAGCTTAAGCACCGTGAGAGACCTATATTGTACATCACACAGGTCGGATATTATACTGTACTGCATTGGACTATAAGATTATATGTCACAAATATCCTGCCCGGAATCATTTTGATGCATGATAATGTCCTGATAATCATCAGTGCTTGGAACTCAAAATAATGGAACTCAAAACATCCTGTTTTCACTTTACCTTACACTTAAAGCTGCACATATTTATATTGCATACCAGATATAGATCTTTTTAAGTGAACATCCATTTTAAGAAAAAACAATCTTAAATAATTAAACACAAATAAATCGCAATGTCCTCCTGAATGAATTATAAATAAATATAAAGCAATGTTGTGTGAGTCTGAAAGAAAATCTATTAGTAAAGTAAGCCCTACATCGACATATACGATAAGAACATAAGCGGAAGAGACTTATTTTCTTCTAAGATTGCTTCCATGGAGCAGCTCTTAAAGAGAGAGCAATATGAATACATCCTCAGGAGTTGAGGAAGTCATCCTCCCACAGGGGGGAGCTGTTCCCTCTTGTGTCATCACTGGGAGAAACTACCTACTACCTGCAACACTTTTTATCCCCCTTGTTTCTTGCCAATGCATTTTCTTTTGAATAAATTAGAATCGGGTTACATGTTGTTTATGAATATAGGCAAAAAATAAATGTCCTTTGTCCTTTTTCCATTAGGAGGTCAGAGGTCAAAGTCAAATAACCTCTGAAGACCAATTAACCAACATCAAAAATAAAAATACATACAAAATGTAATAATAATCAACAGCAAAACATTACAAAATCAAAAGCAAGAACACATAGTATAGTCTAGCTGATGAGGGGGACAAGGAAATGAAGCAAACAGATTGCTAAACAAAATGAAAGAGGTGGAAAAAAGGATTTGTGACACAAAGTGGTATTGTTTAAATTATTTGACATATGACAGGGTGGATGGAACCTATTCGATAAATACACAAGCACATCACGTCAGCATTAATTGAAAAAAAAGTGAAATCTAAGACTGTATTTTATTATATTGTATGTCATGGTTTCCATTTTATTCACTCTCATTATTTCAGGATGTAGATTTAAACAATCTTCTTTTAATTGTGTGCTAGACTAGAGTCTTGCTTTAGGTTATACCATTGATTTGACACTTTCTCACTGTTGTGCAATCCAGCTAGCACCACACTCCACTCAGCCACTAGATGGCAGTATAGGATTGTATTGCAGATATGTGACAATGATAAGGAGTAAAAATCATGCTCTCAGTTCCCTTTTGTGGAGCATTTTTGGGCTGCAGGGGGGAGTACTAACAGCTGGATATAAACTCATTTGGACAGAGTGAACTGATGAATGGAGCTATGAGGAAATAAGTGTATCATATCCATCTGCAAGTCTATGAAAAACCTCTTCTGAGGAAACTGTTATCAGCACATGTGATATCTATGGTCGACACTAACCTTGCATTGTCATGGAGACGGATGAGTTCAGTCTGCTGTGAACTGTCAAAGTCTCTGCAGGCCAAAAATCTCAGCAGTAATCTGATCAAGTTTTTATTGCTACTGTTGACTGAGTCAGGCCTTTCTTATTAAAGCCAGTGTGTGTACTGTACATGTGTGTGTTTCTGTGTGTGTGTCAAGGGAGGGGGCAGTGTGTGGTGACACAGTGAATATGCCTGTGTGTCTTTATACAATGTGTCTTTGTGAGTCCTTGGCTCTGCGTTGGAGAGAAAGAGCTTTCTGTTCGGGGGTCTTCCCTTTCTCCCCAACATCTTGTCTCTCACTTTGTTCCTTTTTAACCTGTTGTCCCACTTTTTCATTAACTGTGGCTTTTTTTTGTAACACCCCCTACCTATTTTCTTTCTTTGTATTGTCTTTCTTTCTTTCTGTATGTGTTACAGAGAAAATAATGACTTCCTCTGTAAATACCTAAACATGATTAGATCTCACATTTGCTCCAGTTACATTTCCAATGAATATAAACAATCTGTCCCTTTTGCTCCTTTCCTTCCCCTCACATCCTCTTCTGTTTTGTGCCTCTTTTATAAAATGGTCCTTTCTTTTTGCTCTCTGTACTTTATCCCAGTCTTTTGTGTTCCTCTGACGGGGGCTTTTTGAGGACACTGCAGCTGTTTAATGGCAACCAGTCTGATAGATAACAGCACATGGCACTCAATGGCATAAAATAGGATTCTTCTTCTGAATTTCTTTACACAAATGTCATGCAAATCCATTGATAGAAAGTTCAGATTTTCCACAGTGAAGTGAAGACTTTGACATGATGGTGGTTGCTAGAAACTCAGAGAATCACCAACGTCATAAGGGTTCATCCTCTGGGGATCATAGTGTACCACATTTCATTGCAAACTATGCTTAGTGGTGAAGAAATGTTACATCAAAATGTCTCTTGGTTGTTCAAGAGGAGTAGTAAGAATATCAGATATTAGAAAAGGCCAGGAGTTCTTTTCATTTTTTGCCATCTTTATTTGACAGGTCCCTGTTATAGGAACTATTTAGTGGACTGACTGACAAATATGAAAACCACATACAAAATGACAAACTTCATTATATCCGGTTACACAGCACTTTTTTCATAGCAGAGCCGAAGCAACGTCACCAAAAACATATTTCTGGGTGCAGTCAGAAAATCGTTGAAAGTAGTAAAATGAAAATGAAACTGAGGAGGGACGAAAAGTGAAAAAACATCCTGCTCGTCTGAGTGTACTTTTTTTTACAGAGTGCAAAATGTTCCTTATTCTATGTTTATTCAGATGAGTACACTGTCAGATAATCCAAACTGAGCTGGACACCTGTTGGAATGAGTAGCAGTAAATGAGAAAAACCCAGAAGAGGAAGAGAAAGGCTATGAAATAGAGACCTTAAGAGGGAATCAAATGGTAAAAAGGGAGAAAGAGGGGTGAGGGGAGCTGTCTATTGACACCACAGGTGCCTGCACTTCAAATGCAGCGAAAAAAGAAGTTCATTTGTGTGTAGGAGACAGGAGAGATACTGTGTGTGCGTGTATTTTATTATGCACGCAGAGAAACACAATACCCCTGCTTATGCGTGTGCTGTGCTGTTGAAAGAATGCATTTGCATGTGTCCACCTTTTATTCGTTTGTTGTCATTTGAGAGGTTGTGTGTGTGTGTGTGTGTGTGTGTGTGTGTGTGTGTGTGGTGGTTCAGATTAATCAACAAGTCTAACCTGGACTCAGTTACGGCTCGGACTTAGACGCACGCAGCCCAGGTACACACACACACACACACACACACACACACACACACACACACACACACACACACACACACACACACACACACACACACACACACACACACACACGATCTGTCTAGCTGCTGAATTGTTAAACAATGTGTCTCCTGCTGGATGCGTGCACCTCCTCAGGGTCATGTAACTATGACACCAGCTCTTTCTAGACACGGATATGCAATTTTCATTCCATGATAGATTAATATCAGATGATTCCTGTGGATTTTCTTTGAATTTCCTCTTCCTCGCTGTGGTTTTGGTCAAGTAGAAACACCAGGCAGTCAGTCAGCAGGCAGCAGCATAGCAGACATTCCTGCCGGGTGTAGTTAGGGAGTTGGAGAATGGCAACGTTGGCCAAAAAATCTGTTAGGGTTTTTTTTTTTTGAGAACTTGTAATGTTGCCTGGCAGCGGGATTTGGACGTGTCGGACTGTAACTGTGCCTTCCTTCTTGTTCACACGCTTCTTTAAAACATGAGACGCTGCAACTGATCAGGAAGAGGAAAGTTACCTGATGACTTCTGGCGGCTTCAATTACCTCCCTCCAAAATCCACCCACAACTATTTCCTATTAATTTGATGCAGATAATACTATTGTTTAAAAATGACCTCCATGTGTTTTTCCAATATGCAGTTCCATGATTTAATAATATCATTGGTTGCATGAGTAATCCGTATCAGTCAACAGCAAGATGAATGATTTAAAGCAGAGTTATTTATATTATTAAAACTTTGAAATCCTGTAGACAGTAAGCAGGAAATTACTCTATTTCTGCAGGCATGTTTTGGGGTCTTTGTACCAGTTTTATTTATCCTTTTTTGAATTGCCAGTATTTGACATCTCACGTTTCTAATAACTAACAGATTGAGGGTTTACATGCAGCATATTAAGGAGCTTTAAGAGTGCTTTAATCTTGAATTGACCCTTAAATAGCAAGTAGTAGCTTTACACTTAGCGAACAGACATGACAGTGATACTGATCTTTTAAAAAACAGCATTGTTTTCTTGTTACCCGTCGTCGAAGGCCTAACATAGAAACTATCTTAAAGAAAACAAATAACTGCTTACACTTTATTTTAGATGCTTAGATGCCTGGAGATGTGAATGGATCTAGTTATATGTGGATGTATACTCTTACAATAAACTTAGATTATTTTTGTATTCAGCACTGTGCTATAGAATGCCAAAACCCTCGAGTTTCATACCTATACTGCTGAAAGTGTGTTAATAAAGTGTTCATTAAAGGGGCAATTGAAATATTTAATACATCAAATTTGTATAATTTCCTCTGTAAAGAAGTATTTTCCAAAGTTTAGAAAAAAAATTACATCTTCACGGTTATTACAAAGTGGCCCAAAACACATTTACAATGGCAATTGAGAGATTGTAAACCTCCGCTAAGGCCATTTCTATAATTAAATAGAAAAGCGTGCATGATACGGAAATGTAATTCTGGGCCCATGCTACACCTTTCCACAAAGTTTCGTAAAAATCAGGCCTATTATTTTTTCTGTAATCCTGCTGTCAAACAAAGTGCAGATAATTTAAATTGAAAGGTTTAATGAAAGACATTTGAGAGTTGCATTGTGGGACATGTAGGACTTTTGGAGCTAGGGACCAAAAGTCAGGATATCTAAACCTTTGCTAATTTCGACTATCTTCTTTTAATCTGACTGAAAATCTGAAAATTGTACAAACTTTATGGAAGTACAATACTCAACACCTTTAAATTGCAATTTTTTTTTTATATTTCAGTAGTAATGAAGTGAAAATTAAACGTGTGCAAACATTAACCAAATAGAAAGTGAAAATCATTATCATGCAATTGTCATGTTCATGTTAGTATATTCATACTGTACATTTTAGGAGACAGGAACTTGGATTAAAACACACCCCTTTTTTACTTAAATTGTGACTCCCCCCTCTCTCATTCCTCATTCAGCCAGTGCTATCTGACGCTGTCCTCTCTCTCTCCTCTCCGGAATCTTCCCTTTTTTTTCCACAGAAAACATGCAGGGAGGAGAGGAGGAGGAGAAAAGGAGAAACTCGTCGGAGGCGACAAGAGAGAGAGGAAGCAGAGAAAGTTAGAGGAGCGAGAGGAGAGGGGTCGAGCAGATGGGAGGAAGGAAGGAAATGATCTCTCTGCGGGCTCAAGTGCGCGATTAAAGGATTGTGCGTAAATAAACAAATGAATCAAAGCCTATAATACAATCAAAAAAAGGGGGAGTTGTATGCGCGCCACCGCGTTGCGTGGACGCGGACAAGACAGCGCGCTGAAACAAGTTCTGTGTTTCTCTCTGGATTTTACTCCTCATGTTCCTCAAAGTCTCGCTGCTGTGTAGTAACTTTTTAGTTTGAAAATCTCCCCCCCCCCACACCCCGCCCCCCTCGTCCTGTCGGTTCACTCTCTCCCCGGAAAAGAAGCTCCGGGGTGGAAGTTGGAGGAAGGAAGCGCGGGTTTTTGTTCCTTCCGAGGAGTCCAGCTCGCCTTAGCCGGGGTTTAGGCGTTGGCAACGGGCAGGGAATACCTTGCCATGGCCGGGGCCAAGCCGGGAGTCCACGCGCTGCAACTCAAGCCCACGTCCGTCCACGAAGCGCTGAAGAAGGGGGGCAAGTTCATCAAATGGGACGAGGTGAGACATGAAATGTTTGTTTTCCTCAAAGTGTAATACACGTGTCGCCTCGCGAGTGAAACAAAACATGTTTCTCAGTCAAGAAGGGCGACTAAAAAAGACAAGAGACAGACACCGTGAGACATGACAGCTTTTTGACAGAATGCCCACTGTTGTGAAGTGGGCACGAGACTGGTGCGTGTGTGTGCGCGTGAGTATTTGGAGTGCAGGTGTGCCTCCATAAACACAAAAAAACCCTATACACCTTTATATGTATGAGTGTGTTTTAATCAGATACTGTAGTAGAAAACTCTCCTGTAGTTGCCAGCAGGTTGTTGTGTTGTGTTGAATTGTTGTCAAGCCGGTTTTTCTCGGGCTCATATTCAGTTCAGACGCCCTCATGCATCCTCCTTTCCCCTCCTTCACCTCCTGTGTCCTTCTCTTTCTGTAAGCACCTGCCTGTAGAAGTTACCTCTATTTGAGAGTGCACCTAGAGCTCTGAAATGTCCCCTTTAAAAACGTTCCATGTGTGTTCTGTTTTTGTTTTCCATGAGTCTCTAAATCACGTCATCAGAAGTTTTCTTTATTTGTCCGGCTCTATTTTTCCTTCCCTAGTTCTGTAGCAGCTTGTCTGGCAGTCCTAACATGTGCCTGCACCGTGTCATTGACCATAATAATTTGTCTGTGTGTGGGTTTTCTGATACAGACTGCAGGGCCATTCTGCAATCTTCTCTGTAAAGAAAGTAGGTGTGTGTGTGTGTGTGTGTGTGTGTGTGAGAGAGTCTGAGCAGCCATCAATGATTAACTAAGTTGCTGACTGATCTGGTGTGTGTGTGTGTGTGTGTGTGTGTGTGTGTGTGTGTGTGTGTGTGTGTGTGTGTGTGTGTGTGTGTGTGTGTGGTGTGTGTGTGTGTGTGTGTGTGTGTGTGTGTGTGTGTGTGTGTGTGTGTGTGTGTGTGTGTGTGTGTGTGTGTGTGTGTGTGTGTGTGTGTGTGTGTGTGTGTGTGTGTGGTGTGTGTGTGTGTGTGTGTGTGTGTGTGTGTGTGTGTGTGTGTGTGTGTGTGTGTGTGTGTGTGTGTGTGTGTGTGTGTGTGTGTGTGTGTGTGTGTGTGTGTGTGTGTGTGTGTGTGTGTGTGTGTGTGTGTGTGTGTGTGTGTGTGTGTGTGTGTGTGTGTCCTAGGCTAAAACTTCTTGATATGTAACCTTTCACCATCACATATAATTATCAAAATGGCAACTTTTCAACAGACAAACAAGTCAAACCACTTGCATTAACTAACGGACAAAAATTACGACCACAATTTGGCCAGAAATAGATATGTAGGTTTTAACAGTGTGAGCTTCATTCAGCAGTTCATCTCAAAGGAAGAAGACTGGGCGTGTTTAAACATACCAGGTTATGAAATAAGTGCAATTTATTCTAATCTGCTGGCAAAAGTGTCCAATTGCTGAGCTCCAGCACGGGAACGCATGGTGGAAAATCAAGTGTGTTTATTGCACTTCCTTATCAATAAATACGTGTCACTACTAAATTGTACAGTGTGATGTTTAATTTCGCTTATATCTCATAAATAAAGCAGTGTATATTTGATCCCGTCCATGCCACACAAACTGTAACTTATGAATGTGTGTGATTGTGCGTGGATCCTCAAATATTAAACAGTTAAAGTGAATCGTCCAAAAAGGTTGTTATCAAAGGTGTTGTCATAGCCTACCTTGCAAATAGAAGGTCAGGTGTGGTGTATCATGCACACACGCAAAAACAAAGTGTTATGTAAAAAAGGTACTTTAAAAAAAAAATCAACTCTTGAAAATAATACCCTCATATATGACCGTTTTCATGCTTTCTTCCTTTTTATATCTTATCAAAGGGAATATATTTGGGTTTTGAACTGATACAATGGGACATTTAAAAAATACTTTGGATTTTAAGAAATTTTAAGAAATCCGTTCATTTTTCACAATCGTCCAACATTTTGTAGGCTAAAAGAGTTATCTAGAAATAAATGACAGACAAATTGAGACTAAAGATAATAGTGAGCCCTAAAACCCAGCTATCGGCAACAGAGCGCGACACACACTGTAATGATGACGTGATGTGTGTATGTGTGTCTGGCTTCAAACTAAGGGTCTTGTCACGCTAACAGTGCATACCACGTCCTTTTGATTTCCTTTCTCTCTCTTTCTCACACACACTGACTCTCTCTCATTGGGAATTCCCAGGAAATGGTTATGCTGGTGATAAAGTGTGTGAACACTCCAAAACATAAGCATGTTTTCTCCCCGTGTGTCTTTACCCCAACATCTGAATTATGGAAAATATTTAGTTTTGGAGACTACACATCTGGGAGAGGAGGGATGTGGCTGAGATGAGAGAGAAGGAGAAATTAGAACTGTCAGTTTTCCAAAATAATGAAATCAAACAGGAATGCTTTGTATTCGAATCCAAATGTCCTTATGTTTTGTCCCAGAAGGATTTTTTTTTCAGATTTTCAACCGAATGCATCATGTAAATGCTTTATTAGGTAAAAATAAAATCAGAAATTCTGTATTGGCTCACTCCGAAGTTGCTCCATCACAGTTAAGCATACCATAGTCTCAAACATGAGAACTTTTAAGAACTTATTGCTGTTATACTGCTAAATATGAATATTGTATGAACTCTTATTTAATCTGGAAGTCTCTTGAGATGTCCATCTGTTTTATGAGAGAGACCTGCCAAAAACAGCGGTGCAGTGCTAACAGATTCACATGAAAATTGATTTACAACTTTCTCACACAGCAACGGCATATATTATATTATTATAGGGCCCGCGGGGCATAAAGGAGAGAGTTAACTATTAAACGCAGTCAAATTAGTCGCTCAACTTTTTCTTAATATGCCATTCAAATGCCTGGTGTGAAGGCAGTGTTTCTGAATCATGTAAGTTATTCCAAAACCAAGGTACTTTTTTTTACAAGTTCAGAACACTCTGGGGGGGAATCATAAGGTCATCCATATCAAGTTAAGCATGACTCAATCTAAACAAAGAGAAATCACCCCAACTGTGCTGCAGAAATAATAAAACCACAGGGAGATTAATTCATTAAGGTTAATATTTGAGATGTATTGATTACTTGGACATATTATAAATCTAATCAAACGTAGTGTAGCGGTGCACATGGTTTATTTTAGCGTCTGTCTGTGCTTTAACAGGGAAGTTGACCAATGGGCCACTGTCCAAAAAACTTGGTGTTCTCCTTTAAGGACTTAGTAAAGTGAGAAAAGAACGAGGACACACATACAGAGAAAGTGCCCGAGGGCAGTGCCGTTTGTTTATATGAAAACCCCACTTTTGACCCCATCCCTCACATTTCACCCCCTTCCTCATCACCGTGTCCTCCCCCCTATTACTTCTTCACTGGAATGCACTACAAACTGACCGTCTTTCTTCAGTGTTTCAGCGTGTGTGCTCACGTGTGTGTGGCTGTTTTGTTCTGGGTGTGTGTCTCACTTTGAATGACTTCCTGTTCGAGCTTGTTTTAAGGCTCCGGAGCCAAACCGTTTTCCTTCCCTCTCTCCTTCTCTCCCTCCCCCTGCTGCGTCTCCGCCCTCTGCAGCCCGGCCGCAATTCAATTTAGATGAACTCCAACTGGAATTCAGTTAAAATTCCTTCCAAACAACCAATTAAACACAAAGAGACAGACAGATTGTCTACAGAGCAGCTCTGCTCTCTGTCAGAGTGGAGGGCACAAAAGTAAAAAAAATCATCTTTACACCTTGCAGAGTTTTCAGCATTTGTTCAGCTGGATTATATTTGCACCTGTGTTCAAATACACTTCCACCATGTGTGTGGAACCATAATGTGCATTTGCATGCTTTCAAATATGCACTTAATAGGCACCCTTTGTAAAAGAAGAATTTGTCGGGTGACCCGCGTCACAAACACTCATTTATTCTTCTTTGTTCAGAACCACATGGGAAAAGTGCAGTTTTTTGGATTTGATATGTTTATGTTCACATGGCACAAATAAAAGTGAACCACGGCTTACAAAGCTTATATCACATGGAATCAATAGTAGCTCATTAGTTCGACAATAGTTTTGTGACGGTTTTGGCTCCAGCTCAAAATTCCTGTAACTTGAGCGAAGCATGATGCACCATAAGATGTTTCATTTTGAAGCTGTTTCCTGCAAATTGGTTGGGGTTGTCCAGTCCGACCGCACCTCAGTTCACTGAGAGGAGCGCAGAGCAATAATCTTGGCAACAGTTGAGGACAGTAAAGACATGTTAATGCTGCTGTTGTCCTCAGTGTTTATCATTACTCTGTTGCCAAACCAAACGGAGTGCAGACGCTCATCCTCCATTCACAAATGTCCTGACCTGGCATTTTTTATTATCTAATGTTTTCACCATCCACATCTAGTTCGAAGATACTCTTAAGGGCCCTCGCGCTGCATTTTCAGTGATCCACGCACAACAGTGTTATTTTCATAATCCGTAACTGTAACTGTATCAACTTGAAACATTGGAAACGGAAAAATCTGACTTAAATGCCCCGTATTCAACTAAAACATGAAAAACAGGATTAGGTTTAATAAATATGGACACAGGACAAAAAATTAGTGAAAATTATAGCTGACTTTAAATGATTTATTCCTATAGTTAGTTGAAATTAACCAAATATGTAGTAAATTGTGGTTTGGATGATCGTCAGTCAAAGACTTAATTGAATGTGTGCCAAGCTACGCTACGAACGCTTCTTCAGGTATTAAAAACAGTCGATTTATGGAAATGTATATGTTTGTTTTCTAACTGAGACCGAGAGCAAGACCAACCCCACTCTTATGTCTGTATGGTAAACATGAAGTGGCAGCCAGTTAGCGTAGCTTAGCATAAAGCACTAGTTAAAGGCTCAGTTCTAAAGCAAACTCACACCCAGATTCCTTGGATTCATAGAGAAATTATTAGGTTAAATCAGTCCCTGCGAACATTACAACTATTCACTTAAAAAAAACACCAGCTGTTTCCGGTCTTTATG